GATTTTTAACAGATCTCAACTATATAAAGATTAAAAAAAAAAACTATTTCATAAATCCTTGAAAATCTAAACTATCAAATGAATTGATAGGTGGAGTACAAGACGTACACAAGAACTAATAAAAATAAGAGTAAAAGAAAAGAAGTCAATGGAAAAGAAGATGAGAAATATGGAGAGGAAAAAGAAGAAAACTCGAACATGAGGAAAAATAAATCAAAGAAGAAAAATAATATTTGGGTTTATATTGGTGGGTCTAGGGTTTAGTTTTTGGTGCATTTTAAAATTTGAATTATATTGGTGGGTCTAGGGTAGTGTTACAATGTGGGATTTGGGTTTATATTGGTGGGTCTAGGGTTTAGTTTTTGGTGCATTTTAAAATTTGAATTATTATAGAAATCAGAATTATAAATCATTGATTATAACTTTATATCTACCTTTCTAAATTACATTCACAAATAGAAAAAGGACTATACCAATTAAAACAAATACAGAATCGAAAGATAACAAAGATTTTTAACAGATCTCAACTATATAAAGATTAAAAAAAAAAACTATTTCATAAATCCTTGAAAATCTAAACTATCAAATGAATTGATAGGTGGAGTACAAGACGTACACAAGAACTAATAAAAATAAGAGTAAAAGAAAAGAAGTCAATGGAAAAGAAGATGAGAAATATGGAGAGGAAAAAGAAGAAAACTCGAACATGAGGAAAAATAAATCAAAGAAGAAAAATAATATTTGGGTTTATATTGGTGGGTCTAGGGTTTAGTTTTTGGTGCATTTTAAAATTTGAATTATTATAGAAATCAGAATTATAAATCATTGATTATAACTTTATATCTACCTTTCTAAATTACATTCACAAATAGAAAAAGGACTATACCAATTAAAACAAATACATAATCGAAAGATAACAAAGATTTTTAACAGATCTCAACTATATAAAGATTAAAAAAAAAAACTATTTCATAAATCCTTGAAAATCTAAACTATCAAATGAATTGATAGGTGGAGTACAAGACGTACACAAGAACTAATAAAAATAAGAGTAAAAGAAAAGAAGTCAATGGAAAAGAAGATGAGAAATATGGAGAGGAAAAAGAAGAAAACTCGAACATGAGGAAAAATAAATCAAAGAAGAAAAATAATATTTGGGTTTATATTGGTGGGTCTAGGGTTTAGTTTTTGGTGCATTTTAAAATTTGAATTATATTGGTGGGTCTAGGGTAGTGTTACAATGTGGGATTTGGGTTTATATTGGTGGGTCTAGGGTTTAGTTTTTGGTGCATTTTAAAATTTGAATTATTATAGAAATCAGAATTATAAATCATTGATTATAACTTTATATCTACCTTTCTAAATTACATTCACAAATAGAAAAAGGACTATACCAATTAAAACAAATACAGAATCGAAAGATAACAAAGATTTTTAACAGATCTCAACTATATAAAGATTAAAAAAAAAAACTATTTCATAAATCCTTGAAAATTTAAACTATCAAATGAATTGATAGGTGGAGTACAAGACGTACACAAGAACTAATAAAAATAAGAGTAAAAGAAAAGAAGTCAATGGAAAAGAAGATGAGAAATATGGAGAGGAAAAAGAAGAAAACTCGAACATGAGGAAAAATAAATCAAAGAAGAAAAATAATATTTGGGTTTATATTGGTGGGTCTAGGGTTTAGTTTTTGGTGCATTTTAAAATTTGAATTATTATAGAAATCAGAATTATAAATCATTGATTATAACTTTATATCTACCTTTCTAAATTACATTCACAAATAGAAAAAGGACTATACCAATTAAAACAAATACATAATCGAAAGATAACAAAGATTTTTAACAGATCTCAACTATATAAAGATTAAAAAAAAAAACTATTTCATAAATCCTTGAAAATCTAAACTATCAAATGAATTGATAGGTGGAGTACAAGACGTACACAAGAACTAATAAAAATAAGAGTAAAAGAAAAGAAGTCAATGGAAAAGAAGATGAGAAATATGGAGAGGAAAAAGAAGAAAACTCGAACATGAGGAAAAATAAATCAAAGAAGAAAAATAATATTTGGGTTTATATTGGTGGGTCTAGGGTTTAGTTTTTGGTGCATTTTAAAATTTGAATTATTATAGAAATCAGAATTATAAATCATTGATTATAACTTTATATCTACCTTTCTAAATTACATTCACAAATAGAAAAAGGACTATACCAATTAAAACAAATACATAATCGAAAGATAACAAAGATTTTTAACAGATCTCAACTATATAAAGATTAAAAAAAAAACTATTTCATAAATCCTTGAAAATCTAAACTATCAAATGAATTGATAGGTGGAGTACAAGACGTACACAAGAACTAATAAAAATAAGAGTAAAAGAAAAGAAGTCAATGGAAAAGAAGATGAGAAATATGGAGAGGAAAAAGAAGAAAACTCGAACATGAGGAAAAATAAATCAAAGAAGAAAAATAATATTTGGGTTTATATTGGTGGGTCTAGGGTTTAGTTTTTGGTGCATTTTAAAATTTGAATTATTATAGAAATCAGAATTATAAATCATTGATTATAACTTTATATCTACCTTTCTAAATTACATTCACAAATAGAAAAAGGACTATACCAATTAAAACAAATACAGAATCGAAAGATAACAAAGATTTTTAACAGATCTCAACTATATAAAGATTAAAAAAAAAAACTATTTCATAAATCCTTGAAAATCTAAACTATCAAATGAATTGATAGGTGGAGTACAAGACGTACACAAGAACTAATAAAAATAAGAGTAAAAGAAAAGAAGTCAATGGAAAAGAAGATGAGAAATATGGAGAGGAAAAAGAAGAAAACTCGAACATGAGGAAAAATAAATCAAAGAAGACAAAATGAAATGTCAAGAGAAAAAAGACAAAGAAGAGATAAATGAAAATTAGAATAATATGATGTCTCAGAAGACGAAGATGATTAAGATAGGGAGTGAGGGGAATGAGGAAGAATAAAAAAACGTAAAAAGAATATAAAAAAATTAGAAAGAAAAAGAAGAATAGTAAGTTAGAGGATATGAAGACACAAGAAATGACAGAAGAACGATGAGAAACTTCGAGAAGAAGAAGAAAACAAAGAAGAGGAAAATGAAAATTAGAATAATATGATGTCTCGGAAGACGAAGATGATTAAGATAGGGAGTGAGGGGAAAGATGAGAAACTTCGAGAAGAAGAAAAAAGACAAAGAAGAGATAAATGAAAATTAGAATAATATGATGTCTCAGAAGATGAAAATGATTAAGATAGGGAGTGAGGGGAAAGATGAAAAACTTCGAGAAGAAGAAGAAAACAAAGAAGAGGAAAAAGAAAACAAAAAAAGAAAAAATAAAATGTGAAGAGAAAAAAAAAAGACAAATAAGAAATAAATAAAAACTATAATCGAATATGATAAAGATAGAGAGTGAGGGGAATGAGGAAGAAGAAAAAACGTAAAAAGAATTTAAAGAAAATTAGAAAGAAAAAGAAGAATAGTAAGTTGGAGGATATGAAGACACAAGAAATGACTGAAGAATAAAAATTTGAAAAAGAAGAAGCGGAAAAACAAAAAAAGATGATGACAAGGAATAAATAAATGGAAGAAAAAAAAAGATGGGATCAATGAAAAAGAAAAGAGGAAGAAAAAAAAAAACATTACAAAATTTAACTATAGTTTTTCTAAATTCTTCACCATTTATAAGTTCGTATCAAATTAACAAAATGTTAAGCTATTACTTCCTTGGAAAATAAACACATTTCAAAAATATGAAAAATAATTAAAAAGAAAATGCGTTCATCTAATATTAATTGAAAGGATTTAGAGTTCTAAAACGTCTCTTGCCCGTGCAGGCGCGGGCCAAGTACCTAGTTTTTTTGTGTTTAGTAAAGTATCTGCTGTATTAGATAGAGAAAACATAGTCACAAAATACAAACAATTATTTTTTGTCTCTCTTTAAGATTGTCTCATCAAAATTCAAATCAACTTCCATTTTAAAAGAAAAATACCACTTGTTTTGACAGTTTTATCTCTGATATCATCAAACCATTTTGCTAAAACTTTAGTCGAATGTCCATATGAATCTCTGTAAAGACACTAGACTGTACAAGAACAATGAATGTTCTTATGATCTCTACTTAATTATTCTGTCACAATAAGAAACTAAATACTTGTTACAATAAGGTCAAACAACTTAGATTTTGATCTACTATCCACCAAAGAAACTTCCAATTATCCTAGAAAAGTTTAACTTGATTAATAAACTTAATCGCGGTCCCCACATAATTTATCCTTTTGATAGATTCTCATGAAGAAACAAAATGGCCAAGAAATTAAATATACTTAATTGCAACGGTTAACATATTTTCTGGTGGACATCCATGGCCAAAGTTAAACCTTGGAATTCTAGATGACTGACCTTTAAACCTCAAGCTATGAACCCTTTTTACTCATTTTCCAGACTATTACAATGCGGAAGATGATTGTTCCGAATAAGATTACTGATATTTAAGGACCCTAGCACCTACCCAAAGGCCAAAACCAGTGAAGTTTCTGCAGATTTAACTTCTCGGAGAACATCAGAGGACCTACAAGTTGTACATCTTTAAGCAATTTCCACATGTCTTTGTGTTTATATTTTGTTATAATACTAATGGTATAACATTTATACTTATTTACACATGGTCATGTCTTTTCAGGAGATGTTTTGATCCGCAAGTTGATGAGCATACATGACTGGTTACTAAATTGGGGACCCTTTGTGATCACATACAACAAAGACAGAAGCATGTGTCCTGTCTGGTTTTGTTGCTCTAAATTTTATCTAATTTATAAGTCTCTCCTTATATATAATCCAACAAGCCTGTAGGATTCTTCATCAGCCATAGCTTGCATTCAGAGAGTTATACAACCACACAACTTACAAACATCTTTTGGTTTCCAATCTAAGAAAAAAAGCTTTTCCCTGAAGATAATGATGAACACAAAGAAGCTCATGAAGATGGCCAAGAAATGGCAACAGAGAGCAGCCTTTAGCAGAAAAAGAATCTCATTCCAAAGATCAAATACTACTACTACTACTACTACTAGCAGCTCAACCGCAGTAGAGAAGGGCTGTTTCGTGGTTTACACGGCAGATAAAATCCGCTTTGCTTTTCCGTTAAGTTACCTGAGCAACTCTGTTTTCCAAGAGCTCTTGAAGATCGCTGAAGAAAAGTTTGGCCTCCCAACCGGTGGACCAATCACCTTGCCATTTGATTCAGTGTTCTTGCAGTATCTCATCAAATTGATTGAACGACGAATGGATGGAAATACGGAAAGGGCTCTGTTAATGTCCATCTCTAGTGCTAGATGTTCCTTACCATGCTCTTTTCAACAACAAGAGCAAGTCCTTGTATTTTAGAGAATTACAATGTAGCAATTTTTGTGTTTGTAAAGATTAGACAAATTATTTCAGATATACAAAACCATTATTTTTGTCTCTCATCAAAATCAAATTTCACTGTAAACAAAGAAAAATTATAGAAACTTCAACATCACTTATTGTGAGGATTTACTCAAATTGTATTGTCTGAAACTTTCTCTCATAAAGTTGGTGCAGTGGTTAAAAAAAAATTCTTAGATTGCCTCTATGAATATCTTAGAAGTTATACAAGAATGGGCAAGAACTAATAATACAGACACGAGATGTTTGTATGATCTGAACTTAATCCATCTCAAGGAAATCTGAGTTAGCAGGAATAGTTGCTTCGCTGGCAAGAAATCTAAGGACCTACATGCTCTTCGCCTTTGCTTCACCAGCTCATGCCTTTCTTTGTACCTATCTATCTCTCTAATCATTCATTGTAACCACATTTTATGTCTTTAATTTCAAGAAAATACTTGTTTTCCCCTAATGATTAATTTGTATGACCTATTTTTATTTGTATGACGTACATTTAATTTGGCTGATTGTTCTACTAAGTACTAACCAACTAGCTAGGGCATAGGGACCCTTATGCTAAGAAACAGAGCTATACAGAAGCATGAGTTTGTTTCTTTTTGGCTTCTCTTGTATATACTATACCAAGAGTGAAGGGCCTCTTGCGTTCTTCATCAATGTCGCAGTACCTAATTCTTGTCATATGCGATTTACACACACATGATCATGTCTTATACGATAAGTTGTATAGGCCACAAGTTGATTTGCAGACAAAATTAATCACCAATTTGGGACCCTTAGAGGAGAAACATAAGCATGTGTTGTGTCTAGTTAGGTTGGTCAGGAGCTTGTCACAAAGCCTGTCTAAAACTAATTGTTTCTCCTTCTATATAATCTAACAAAGTTATAGCATTCTTCGTCAATCACAGCTTATAGCATTCTCCTTCTCACTTTCCGATCTAAGTAATATTTTCCCTAAGAAAGAATGATGAACACAAAGAAGCTAATCAAGATGGCCAAGAAATGGCAACAAAGAGCAGCCCTCCACAGGAAAAGAATCTCATTCCAAAAATCAAGTACTGCTTCTGCTAGCAGCTCAGCCGCTGTAGAGAAGGGTTGTTTCGTGGTTTACACGGCAGATAACACTCGCTTTGCTTTTCCGTTAAGGTACCTGAGCAACTCTGTTTTCCAAGAGCTCTTGAAGATCTCTGAAGAAGAGTTTGGCCTCCCTACAGAAGGACCAATCGCTTTGCCATTCGATTCGGTTTTCTTGGAGTATCTCATCAAATTGGTAGAAAGAAGAATGGATGCAGATACAGAGAAGGCTTTGTTAATGTCGATGTCTAGTGCTAGATGTTCTTCACAATGTTCTTTGCATCAACAGAGTATGACGAGTCAACAATTGCTTGTATTTTAGAGTCTCTATGAAACAAAGAGACAAACCAATTTGTAAATATGTTTCTAGTTAGATTATACTGCAACACAAAACAAAGTTCAACAATTCTTTTCTCTTTCAAATTATGAAAACTGAAACTAAGTGAAGCAAAATGTGCATCACTTGCATAGACAATGAATTGTAGATGAAAACTTATACAAGGAGGTAGATTTTGCATAATTTCGTCAATATGTGACAATGAATTTGTAATTGACATATACAAAATCGACTCCTTCAATTGATTATTTCAGTTTTCATGGAGTATCTCATCAAACGATTTCAGTTTGTCACCAATATTCAAGTCAACAGTGGACACAGCCAATGTAAAATCTGGTGATCAGAGTTCTTGCGCTGCACCTCGAATTGATTATTATTACAATATGCTCGATCTTTTCAAATTTAGTTAATACAGACACCATAGCGAAAATGGTTATCTAGTGATCATTAATATGAAAGATTTGTTTTCAATAAAAGGCAGACACCGAGGGATAACAAAAGACTGGAGAGAAACTTAAATAAATTTTCTATTATAAACGATTGCAATGCACGTATATATTGGTTTATAAAGACACTGAAGCAACTACAAATAATACATCATCTGGTTCTTAATAACATTGTCAACTAATTTTTCTTCGCTAATAGAGACGTGAAGCAGCCATTTTCAGTCCAAAAGAACAAACCAACGACCCTGCAAAAGAGATACACAAAAGATACAAGAGAATAAAAGGGATATAACAATCAATTAGATTAACCAAAAGTCAAGAAATAATATTCATGTAAACAGGTAAATAAGTAACAGGTAGCTTAGGTAATAAGAAGCTAGCAGTGTCGCAAAGGCCTGTTTGATCACTTTCTGCCTCTGAAAAACGAAATGTCCAACCACAATTTTAAAACTTTGGACATCAGATACCATAGGCAATTTACCACACTAACAAAAATAAACAGAACCAAAATAAAATATTGAATTATAAAGAAATCTGCAATCTCAGTCGAAAGATGGTGATCTAAGTGTTCAATAATCATGGGATTATCATTAAATATGGACGATTTTCTTCATCACTGATTGCAGTAATCCAAAACAAAATAAGATTTGAAAACGAAAAAACTATAGTATGGTAAAAACTATAGTATGATATAAACGAAGAGGTCAGATGGTAGTGCATGTCATAACTCAACAGTGAAATTCAGATTTGCAGACGTATGGTAATATAATCCTCATTCCTCCTCTCTTTACACCAAAAAAATATAGTATAAGAAACAATAATTGAATTAAGATCAGAAACTATGGCAAATCACTCACACTGCAAAAGCAGATCAGACTGGGTGTCACAAAACATTATGCCATTTCATCATATCCTTAAATAAAGACTAAAATCTCAAACAAACAATAAAAAAAGATTTAGAAAATTGAAGAATCAGACAAAAATAGTCAATCACCATGTTACATCCATCGTAATGGATGCAGATTAAGACTGGGGCGACAATTTCACATCATCACTTTCATCAATCATAAAGATTCACAGCATACAAAGAATTGAAGAATAACTATCGAAGTTTCATAAAACACAGAAGCAACTCAAACATCCTACAGAACCGAGGGAAGAAAAAACAAAAGTAGGGTTTAAGGCCGTCAATGGTTTTTGTGTTTGATTTTTTGGCAAAAGGTTATAACTTTATATAGATGCAGAAGACTGCTTACATTTTTAGGGTTTCAGAAGCTACACCGCTTTTAATATGGGCCTGGGCCTTCTATACTAAAGTATTTTCTGAAAGCCTATGGGTTTTAAATTAGGCCTAATTATAGTTAATTTTGGATGCTTGTTTGGCATCTTGTGTTGTTCTTAGTTCTTACAGAGTTACAGTAGTAGGAAGTTGTGAAGATTTTGTGTTTGACTTTTAATTTGAACAATCGATTCTCTTAATAAAGACACACACAAAATGACTTCCTGGTTCAGTTGTCTGACATGGATTTTCTGCTTCCTGTGTTAGTCTTCTTTTGCTGTTGGTCCAACAACAATCTTGAAAGTCAAGTTTAGATAAGTTGAATTTTTTATATAAAAATAAGTACATATACAGTTTGCGTAATCAATTTGAACCCTAAGGAAAAAAAGGAAACATAGATGAGACAAAAATTGTGTTACATGACGCAAAGCAAGACGTAGGTCTTTCACTTTTACACTCGACGTCCTTACGACAGCGACTCTGTTTTATACCAACCCCTTCTGTTTTGTTTTCACCTCATCCAGCCAAAATATGTTACGACAAGCACATGTAGTATAGTCTATATAAATGCAAGATATCCAAACTAAAATTTCAAACACCCAAATGAACATCACTATATAGCTTATTATAAGCCTTTTAACAAATATTTCAATAGTATTCATCTATTATAAGTTCTAACTCGTCTAAACAAGCAAACATAAAATAAATTTGTATATACAACTTTAACTGACTGAAAACTGAATATGGCGCTACTATTTTGTACGCATCTTCTAGTAAAGTCTGTTTGTAACGGTCATATTTGGAGAAGACTCCAACTTCTTATCTCCAACCATTAGATTCTAAGTCAATGCCACAATAATCATTTTTCATAGATCAATTTTTTAATTTTCAAATATGTAATTATACTTTTGGAGAAACGTACAACTGTGCCATGTTTTATATGCGTTTATTTACGTCACACCAAGTTCTATATGTATTTTCTTATATAAATTTTTGTTCTCAACGATATAAAAACGGTAATATCTATCGAGTAACGACCATATCAAATTTGGACTGAAAGAATTCATAATATAAGCATTGATATGACTGAATCAACCACAGCAGATTTTTCTTAGTTTTTAAATATAAAAACAATTTTTAATATAAAAACAGAAAAAAATGTTTTAACGTAGATTACTATAGTGTTATTTCTTTCCTCGATCGCCATATTTGCTCTATTAGTTAATGCTTGGAGGTTTACTAGACCTCTTAGTTCGTGTATGCTAAATCTTCATAAAATTGTTTCCACAGATATATTTACCCCAATTTTTTTTTACGAAATGGGGAAATTGGAGGAATATTCATAGTGACATTATGGCATATGCTTCAAGATTATCCTGACGTGGCTTCGCAATATCCTGTTTTTAACATCACCCAAGCCGTAAAGCAATAAGACTATTGTAGATCGGATTAACTTACTTAAAAACATATAAGCAAGTCTATGATGTTAACCCAAGTGAGTCTATGATGTTAACCCCTTAATTATTTATTTATTTGTTATGTACTATATTATAGCTCTAGCGTGAAGAAATTAAACTAGCAATAAAAAATAAATAAAATAAATTAAGGGGTCCAGTTATGTGTGGTTTATCTTAATCTCTTGGCAAATACTCCATTGTTTAGTTTCTGTAATACACTAGTCATGCTGACTCAGTGCTATTCACTATTTCAAAGTTCGTATTGAATTTCACTTATTATGTACTTAATTCTTCAATAATGGACATATCTCTGTTTAATTTCTCTGAACATGTTTAAAATACATTAAATAACGTTTACAATCCGTGAA